TTTGCCGACCGGTGCCATGAGGAGCATGCTGCTGCCCTGGCACAGTGACTCCCCCGGTTCCCTTGAGTAGGGCCCAGGCATCTTTTGCCCGGCCTTGGCTCCCGACCCACCCCCTCCCCCCGCAGGTAAGAGCAGCGTCAGCGTCAGCAAGCAACGGTCAGCGGCAGCCCCACCACCCCCACCTCCACCTCACACACTCACTGGCCCCTTGCGCGATGGCACGCCGGCATGTTGGCATGGGAACGCCAAGCCCGGCACGGTAGCGGCGGCTGACTGAGTAATGGCACAGCCGACCGCCGCGGCAGGCCACTTTGCACTCCTGCCTGCAATGCATGCACCCTTACATGTGCAGCCTTCTGGTATTTTCATGTGCCTGGGAGATGTGCGGGCATGGGGGCCCATGTGCCCCATGCCATTTGAGTGCCCGGCGGCGGCGCTGCCTGCCGCCGGGAGCCCGCACCAGCATCGGCACCCGTCGGCCTGGCAGGCCTAAGCTGCTAAGGATCCCCACGTCCCCCACCACGTTGTGGGGGTTGCGTGTCCGGCAGGACGGGGAGCGGGGCCAGGGTGGGGTGACCCTGGGACGCTCAGCTGGGGGGAGGGTGGTCGGAGCCATGGAGAGGGTGCTCCATGGTCCACCCCCTCTCTTGATGCCCCTTGATCACGTGTGCCCCCTGCCCAAGGTCTGCTCACGCGGCCTATCATAGCGGGGTGACTGTAACACAGGGTAACAGGGAGGTGTGTGTGACAGGGGACATCGCTGGCAGTTTTGTGTTGTTTTAGGTAGAAGTTTCACGGTTGCTTCTATATCGACTCGATGGGGGGTGGGGGTGGGTTGAGGTAGGCGTATATGTGCATTGGCGGAGCATTTGATGCTAGGAAAAAAAGGCTTGGCAAGCTGTTGGCCAGCTTATGCCAGCCAGCTAGAAGTTGAAAGGTTCCTGTGAGGAGCAAAAAGTACTGCGGTCACTAGTGTTGTACCGTGGGTGTAAGGGGGCTGTTCGTGACGGCCCCGTTTTAGTTGGGGTGCCGCAGAGGGTGCCACCCCAGCCGACAACGAATTCACACACCGACTTCATAGATGACAGGTCTTTGCAAAATTGCATGTGGGGGGAGAGGGCGAACAAGCGAGGAATGCAGGTCAGAGGGGCACAACCAGCATGGCCAGCAAGCAACACACATTTGAGCAACGAAGGCACAGAACCAGGCACCACATGGCAGGCAGCAAGCCGATCACTCACCAGCTGCAGAAAGAGGAGGGATCCAAATGCATGTGTGGTGTTGGGCGAAAGAAAACAAAGCAGGCAAGTCAGAGGGGCACATGCCAACATAGCCAGCCAGCAACACACATCCGCGCATCGAGGGCACACAACAAGCACCACATGGCCGGGCAGAGACACACATCCGCGCATCGAGGGCACACAACAAGCACCACATGGCGGGCAGCAAGCCGATCACTCACCAGCTGCAGAATCAGGAGGGATCCAGATGCATGAGTGGAGTAGGGCACAAGAAACAAAGCATGCTGGTCAGAGGGGCACATGCCAGCATAGCCTGCCAGCATCACACATCTGGGCAACGAGGACACATAACATACACCACATGGCGGGCGGCAAGCCAATCACTCACAAGCTGCAGAAATAGGAGGGATCCATATGCATGTGTGGTGTTGGGCGAAAGAAAACAGAGCAGGCAGGTCAGAGGGGCACATGCCAACATAGCCAGCCAGCAACACACATCCGCGCATCGAGAGCACACAACAAGCACCACATGGCAGGCAGCAAGCCGATCACTCACCCGCTGCAGAATCAGGAGGGATCCAGATGCATGTGTGGGGTAGGGCACAAGAAAACACAGCAGGCTGGTCAGAGGGGCACACGCCAGCATAGCCTGCCAACATCACACATCTGGGCAACGAGGACACATAACATACACCACATGGCGGGCGGCAAGCCAATCACTCACGCGCTGCAGAAATAGGAGGGATCCATATGCATGTGTGGTGTTGGGCGAAAGAAAACAGAGCAGGCAGGTCAGAGGGGCACATGCCAACATAGCCAGCCAGCAACACACATCCGCGCATCGAGGGCACACAACAAGCACCACATGGCCGGGCAGGGACACACATCCGCGCATCGAGGACACACAACAAGCACCACATGGCGGGCAGCAAGCCGATCACTCACATGCTGCAGAAATAGGAGGGATCCAAATGCATGTGTGGTGTTGGGCGAAAGAAAACAAAGCAGGCAAGTCAGAGGGGCACATGCCAACATAGCCAGCCAGCAACACACATCCGCGCATCGAGGGCACACAACAAGGACCACATGGCCGGGCAGGGACACACATCCGCGCATCGAGGGCACACAACAAGCACCACATGGCGGGCAGCAAGCCGACCACTCACCAGCTGCAGAATCAGGAGGGATCGAGATGCATGAGTGGAGTAGGGCACAAGAAAACAAAGCATGCTGGTCAGAGGGGCACATGCCAGCATAGCCTGCCAGCATCACACATCTGGGCATCGAGGGCACACAACAAGCACCACATGGCGGGCGGCAAGCCGATCACTCACCAGCTGCAGAATCAGGAGGGATCCAGATGCATGAGTGGAGTAGGGCACAAGAAAACAAAGCATGCAAGTCAGAGGGGCACATGCCAACATAGCCTGCCAGCAACACACATCCGCGCATCGAGGGCACACAACAAGCACCACATGGCCGGGCAGGGACACACAACCGCGCATCGAGGGCACACAACAAGCACCACATGGCGGGCAGCAAGCCGATCACTCACCAGCTGCAGAAATAGGAGGGATCCAGATGAATGTGTGGGGTAGGGCACAAGAAAACAGAGCAGGCTGGTCAGAGGGGCACATGCCAGCATAGCCTGCCAGCATCACACATCTGGGCATCGAGGGCACACAACAAGCACCACATGGCGGGCAGCAAGCCGATCACTCACCCGCTGCAGAAATAGGAGGGATCCAAATGAAAGTGTGGGGCAGGGCACAAGAAAACAGAGCAGGCTGGTCACAGGGGCACATGCCAGCATAGCCTGCCAGCATCACACATCTGGGCATCGAGGGCACACAACAAGCACCACATGGCAGGCAGCAAGCCGATCACTCACAGGCTGCAGAATCAGGAGGGATCCAGATGCATGTGTAGGGTAGGGCACAAGAAAACAAAGCATGCTGGTCAGAGGGGCACCTGCCAACATAGCCTGCCAGCATCACACATCTGGGCAACGAGGACACATAACATACACCACATGGTGGGCAGCAAGCCAATCACTCACAAGCTGCAGAAATAGGAGGGATCCAAATGAATGTGTGGGGTAGGGCACAAGAAAACAGAGCAGGCAGGTCAGAGGGGCACATGCCAACATAGCCAGCCAGCAACACACATCCGCGCATCGAGGGCACACAACAAGCACCACATGGCAGGCAGCAAGCCGATCACTCACGGGCTGCAGAATCAGGAGGGATCCAGATGCATGTGTGGGGTAGGGCACAAGAAAACAAAGCACGCATGTCAGAGGGGCACATGCCAACATAGCCCAGCAACACACATCCGCGCATCGAGGGCACACAACAAGCACCACATGGCCGGGCAGGGACACACATCCGCTCATCGAGGGCACACAACAAGCACCACATGGCGGGCAGCAAGCCGATCACTCACGCGCTGCAGAAATAGGAGGGATCCAAATGAATGTGTGGGGTAGGGCACAAGAAAATAGAGCAGGCTGGTCAGAGGGGCACATGCTCGCATAGCCTGCCAGCATCACACATCTGGGCATCGAGGGCACACAACAAGCACCACATGGCGGGCAGCAAGCCGATCACTCACGCGCTGCAGAAATAGGAGGGATCCAGATGCATGTGTGGGGTAGGGCACAAGGATACAAAGCAGGCTGGTCAGAGGGGCACATGCCAGCATAGCCTGCCAGCATCACACATCTGGGCATCGAGGACACATAACATACACCACCTGGCGGGCGGCAAGCCAATCACTCACAAGCTGCAGAAATAGGAGGGAACCAGATGCATGTGTGGGGTAGGGCAAAAGAAAACAAAGCAGGCAAGTCAGAGGGGCACATGCCCGCATAGCCTTCCAGCCACATCTGGGCAGCGAGGGCGCATAACCAGCACCACATGGCGGGCAGCAAGCTGATCGCTCACCAGCTGCAGAATCAGGAGGGATCCAGATGCATGTGTGGGGTAGGGCACAAGAAAACAAAGCAGGCTGGTCGGAGGGGCACATGCCAGCATAGCCTGCCAGCATCACACATCTGGGCATCGAGGGCACACAACAAGCACCACATGGCAGGCAGCAAGCCGATCACTCATGAGCTGCAGAAATAGGAGGGAACCAGATGCATGTGTGGGGTAGGGCACAAGAAAACACAGCAGGCTGGTCAGAGGGGCACATGCCCGCATAGCCTGCCAGCATCACACATCTGGGCAACGAGGACACATAACATACACCACATGGTGGGCGGCAAGCCAATCACTCACTAGCTGCAGAAATAGGAGGGAACCAGATCCATGTGTGGGGTAGGGCAGAAGAAAACAAAGCAGGCAAGTCAGAGGGGCACATGCCAGCATAGCCTTCCAGCCACATCTGGGCAGCGAGGGCGCATAACCAGCACCACATGGCGGGCAGCAAGCTGATCGCTCACCAGCTGCAGAATCAGGAGGGATCCAGATGCATGTGTGGGGTAGTGCACAAGAAAACAAAGCAGGCTGGTCAGAGGGGCACACGCCAGCATAGCCTGCCAGCATCACACATCTGGGCATCGAGGGCACACAACAAGCACCACATGGCAGGCAGCAAGCCGATCACTCACGAGCTGCAGAAATAGGAGGGAACCAGATGAATGGGTGGGGTAGGGCACAAGAAAACAAAGCAGGCATGTCAGAGGGGCACATGCCAGCATAGCCTGCCAGCATTACACATCTGGGCAACGAGGACACATAACATACACCACATGGCGGGCGGCATGCCGATCACTCACGTGCTGCAGAAATAGGAGGGATCCAGATGCATGTGTGGGGTAGGGCACAAGGATACAAAGCAGGCAAGTCAGATGGGCACCTGCCAACATAGCCTGCCAGCAACACACATCCGCGCATCGAGGGCACACAACAAGCACCACATGGCCGGGCAGGGACACACATCCGCGCATCTAGGGCACACAACAAGCACCACATGGCGGGCAGCAAGCCGATCACTCACCAGCTGCAGAATCAGGAGGGATCCAGATGCATGAGTGGAGTAGGGCACAAGAAAACAAAGTATGCTGGTCAGAGGGGCACATGCCAGCATAGCCTGCCAGCATCACACATCTGGGCAACGAGGACACATTACATACACCACATGGCAGGCAGCAAGCCGATCACTCACAAGCTGCAGAAATAGGAGGGATCCAAATGCATGTGTGGGATAGGGCACAAGAAAACAAAGCAGGCTGGTCAGAGGGGCACATGCCAGCATAGCCTGCCAGCATCACACATCCGGGCATCGAGGGCACACAACAAGCACCACATGGCGGGCGGCAAGCCGATCACTCACCAGCTGCAGAATCAGGAGGGATCCAGATGCATGAGTGGAGTAGGGCACAAGAAAACAAAGCATACAGGTCAGAGGGACACATGCCAGCATAGCCAGCCAGCATCACACATCTGGGCATCGAGGGCACTCAACAAGCACCACATGGCAGGCAGCAAGCCGATCACTCACCAGCTGCAGAAAGAGGAGGGATCCAAATGCATGTGTGGTGTTGGGCGAAAGAAAACAATGCAGGCATGTCAGAGGGGCACATGCTAGCATAGCCTGCCAGCATTACACATCTGGGCAACAAGGGCAAATATTATACACCACATGGCCTGCCAGCGTCACACATCTTGGCATCGAGGGCACACAACAAGCACCACATGGCAGGCAGCAAGCCGATCACTCACCCGCTGCAGAATCAGGAGGGATCCAGATGCATGTGTGGGGTAGGGCACAAGGGT